TGGAAAGGACCTGGGAGTTACAGTAGACAATAAGATGGCTATGAGTCAGCAGTGTGCCCTTTTTTCCAAGAAGGCTAGCAGCATACTGGGCTGCATTAGTAGGAGCATTTGCCGGCAAATCAAGGGAAGTAATTGCGCTGGTGAAGCCACATCTGGAGTACTGTGTCCAGTTTTGGGCCCCCCGTTATAGAAAGGATGTGGACAAGTTGGGCAGTGAAAATGGTTCATGGGCTGGGGCATGTGACTTCTGGGGAGAGGCTGAGGGAACTGGGTTTATTTAGTCTGCAGAGGAGAAGACTAAGGGGGGATTTGATAGCAGCCTTTAGCTACCTCAAGGGTAGGTCCACAAAAGATGGAGCTAGACTGTTCTCAGTGGTGACAGATGACAGAACAAGGAGCAATGGTCTCAAGTTGCAGCAAAGGAGGTTTAGATTGTATATTAGGAAAAAACTTTTCTCACTAGGAGGATAGTGAAGCACTGGAACAGGTTACCTAGAGAGGTGGTTGAATCTTCATCCTTGGAGGTTTTTAAGGCCTGGCTCAGCAAACCCCTGGCAGGAATGATCTAGTTGGGGCTGGTCCTGCTTTGAGCAGGGGGTTGGACTAGACCTCCTGAAGTCCCTTCCAACTGTAATTTTCTGTGATTTTATTTTCCCCTGTCTCTGGCTGCTGAGTAGAACTAGTCTGAGGCCAGGGATGGTTACTTTTGTGAAAAGTTCTTTTACCTTGTTTGTATGTGTTAAGTTGTAGGCTGTAGGTAGCTGCTTATTTTATAAATGTAAAAGAAAAAAAGATTTATTTACAATAAGAGGCATGTAGCCAGATTCCTTCTAATGTTGCAGTTCCATTGACTCAGTAAAATTACTGGAGGAATGAATTAACTGCAGAATACATACAAAATATAACAGGCCATTTAGTAGTCATCAAAAAAAGCTACTGCATTTGCAAAATTGCCTCAGCCTTTGTGGAAAATATTGCAGAGTAAATGCAGATTTTAGGTTGGTAAGCTAGACTGATTCTTGTGATAAGAGAACTTTAGATCTGGTGCTATATGGATCACTTTTGGTTTGGGTTTGTTTTTCAGGGTGGCACCAGCAGATGTATTTAAGATGATTCAACAATGGATCTTGTCTGTGACTAATGAAACTGAGAAGAACAATGTGTACCTTACTCAGGAAGTATGTATATGCCTGAAGTGGTTAGGGTTGAGAGCATTTGCTCACTCTCTCATTTTATTTCTTTATGTTGAGATGGTGTCCATAAGGAATCCCCTGTCTGCTTTGATCCTCCTCACTCCCTTCAAAGCTCAGGACTATAGCTTCCATCTCTCTGACAAGGGAAGGCTAAGTGGTGTTCTTTGAGAGGTGCTGCTTATTTAGTTGGAAGGATTTTTATAGCGTCATGAACCAGAGCTGTAGGCAGTATCATTAGACCTGGGGAATTTTGCCAAATTTTACTTATTTTATCTATGTGTTTTACAAAAAGCTTTTGAAGATCTGTGACATCATCAGACTATTTCAGAATACACTTGGTGATATTACTGTAATCAGCTTTTTAGTAAATTAATATCTATTTCATGTAGCTTTAGAAAAAAAATGGCATTAAACCAATTCTTTATATGAGATCCCCCATGTTCTCAAGAACTCAAGATCTTCCCACCCCATTCCTCTCTGCCTAGAAGTTTTCTACTGACTTAGACTGATTCTCACTGTCTCTTCCCATAATCCCAAATGGAAGACCACAGATAAATCATGTACTTTAGGTAAAGTTATTTGCATATTTTAAACTTATAGCATTTCTTTTGTAGGGTGTTCTTTCAAATAAATCCAACTGTGCTGAGAAAGGCAGATGGCTCATGTTTCTACTTAAAATGGCAAGTGGGGTTAATAATTGAAATGTCAACATTGCTGACTTTCAGAGGAGCTGCTGGGGGCCTCATTCCAGGATCTTAGCACCTGACCCTGGATGTCTGAGGAAGACTGTTTTCAACTTGTATTTCTCTTTGTTGTTCTCTTTGTTCAGGCTGATGAAAAGCAGAAACAGAATTAGTAGATGTGCAGAGAAAGTACAAGCCCTACTTTATGAGCTATTACAGCAGTAAAGCATGGTGAAGTGTGCATTTGTCAGCAGTTGGAGGGCCAAGGCATACATTTAAATTATTCAAGAAGTGAACCAGCAGCCTCCCACTTCCCTTGCTGCAGTGGCCTATTGCTGTAGTACAGGGTCCAGCAATGTTTTACAAGCCACAGGCTGGAACAACCTGGCTTTTGTCCAACATGAGCCAGGTGGCAGCGGAGCTTTCCTGATGCCCGTACTGGAGCCAGGCACCAGGATGCTGTCTCCCTGCCACTACCCCTTCTCCCCATCCCCAGCTTCCTGGCTGCAGCATCGGTGCAAGTTCAAGCCAGTGGAGAGCTGTGCCAGAACCAGGTATATGCAGACTACCTCTTTGCTGCTGCTTCTCCCCACTCTGGTCCCAGCCCCTGGCTGCAATGCAGGCACAGCTGGAAGCTGCATGGCCCCAGTACAACTCCCTCACTTACTTTCAGCTGGCTCCTGGCTGTCTGGCCCTGGCATGGGCCTAGGCAAATCTCTCCAGTGCCACAGGCTAGATCCAGTGGCTCTGTGGGATAGATTGGGCCCATGGGCCTCATGTTGCCAATCCTTGTTCTAGCAGATCCTATTTGAATTAATTTTGCAAGACATCATATCCGTGTAATTTTGCAATACATTCTATCCCTGTGAAAAAAGTTCTTAATGAAAATAAAGTTAAAGGGTGTGAAAACCTTGACTTCCATCTCACTGGAATGCTTTTTAAAAGAGGTTTCAGATCACAGGCCCCTTTGCTAGTTATCCCTTGTCATCTGGCTTCTCAAAAATAGTTTTGCTATTATCATCTCAGACAGCTGTCTGGGGCTATTCAGTTACTGGTTCATCCTAGAATCCTATTGGGCAGATGCTGTTTCAGTGTCATACAGGATTCTGGGACATACCTGCTTCTTGGAAATGTAAGACTGTGGTGTGGCTGGCAGAGAAGCAGCTCAGTGGTCTCAGAGGAAGGAACTAAGACCAGGATAGGAAAAGATGGTAACATGGAAAGGAGAGAGGAAAAAGAGAAGTTTAACTGTAAATATTTCTGCCTCAGAGGGACAATTTACTAGTGAAGTGTGTGCGTCAGTCTTCACCCACACAGTGACAGTGCCACTGAGGTTGGAATTGTGGGCAGGATAAATGCTCGCCATTCCAGCACCATTCCTGCTGCAGGTTTATTCATGCTTTAACCTTTCAGTGCGATGGTTTTTGCAGGTGGTTGAACTCCACAAAGCTCTGATCATGTGGATGGTGAATCTGCTGAGATTGATGGTACCTGACTGCTTGTCCAGTGAGTGTCCCCTAAGTGAAGATGCTGAAGCTGCTGAGAGAGATCTCAAAGTGTTTAGTACTTGTAAGCTAGAAGAAGAAGCTATAAACCTGGTTGCCAAGTTTAGCAGATTCTCCAGTTACATAATTAGGTATTTTAACAGTCTATACACATCACAAGCCTAATAGGGTTTTCTCTAATAGGAATGATCCAGAGTATGGCACAGGAGTGTCTCCTGCAGGAGGTGTGATCTAATCAAAAGTGGGTAAGGCCATGGGCAGATGTTAGATTTGTAGAGCTACGTACGCTTTTGTAGCACTACAAAAAGAGGGTGTACAGATGTACATTCTGCCTGTAGTGCTACAAAAATGGCACAAGCGCTACAGGTGGTCTCACACAGTATCCCACCGTGCTCTGCCATCCCCCACTTCCCCCCTCCCCCTCTCTGAGGTTGAAGTGGGGAGAGCAGCTGGTTCCATGATGGCTGCTAGGAAGCAGAGCTGCATTTTGCAGTTTTTGACCCAGTGAACTGCAGGGTCCATCTCCCAGTGATTGGGCTCACTGACATGCTCCCCTGGGAGAGCAGAGGAGCAACCCTTTATCACCCCCTGGCTAGAGAGTACATCTTTGTAGTGACTGTAGCACTTCAGCTGGGACCTACTGAAAGTGCAGACATCCCTTGAAGTGCTATATTTTTGTAGCACTACCAAGTGTTGTGGCCTGTGTAGCACTACAAATGTGAAACAATTCAAACAAAAGAGTCAGTAATAAAATTAGAGAGATCGACTGAGTAAACTAAATATATGTTTTTTTCTCAGTAGTTTGCTGTTGTAGTAGCTCTCCTGAAATATAGAGGAAAATTAAGCAGTCACCGGGCCCATCACCTTTTTTTTTTAAAGATGTTAGAGTTCTAACAAATAGTACTTGGTAAACATGCTAGATGGAACAAAACCCAAAAAGAATGGTCTCCTTTATTTTTAGATGTTGCTACTTTAAAAGCCATGGTATCTAATGACAGTATGCCTTATTGCTAGAGAATCCCAACTGATTAAGGAAAGGTGTTTGAGGCCGTTGCTGAAGGGTAGCTTATCTTTTGTGTTTCCTCAGCTGCTGCAAGGGGACAGTAGATGCAATAGTTCAGAAGAAACAGTCTGAATTGAGTTTAGAAGCTGATTATGAGCGACTGCAGTTGGAAAAGATCAAGGTAATCAGGGCTTCCTGGCTGCCCAGAATACAATCCAGACCCAGTTCAGAATTGGCTGTATCTCCTTCTGTAAGAGCCAGACAAAGAAGGGGCAAAGAACTAATGTATACAAGAAATTTGGGAAGGAGTTTCAACAGACAAGAGGAGAATATTCATACTTCACAAGTATAAACCATAAGCCACCAAATGTTTATTGCAGGAATAAATTAATTCCTTTTGGTCAGTAACTAATTAAAATACGATCAGATCAGTTGTACAATGCAGACTCTGCCCTCCAGAGGAAGAATCCAGCGCTCCAGAATTGTCCACAAGTATTCTTCTATCCGCACAGCATCCTCTGCTTTTGGATTTTCCAATCATCAGTTTCCTGCTTACCCTGCAGACACAGAGCACATTATTTTAAATGTCTGAGTCATATTTAACTTTACATCATTCCTTGCACTGTTACACCAAAGATTAGCACATCCATTCTCTTTTCACTGCATCTCATCCAAGTAGTTACAGCAGTAGACTGAAAGGATTGCTCCTCCTCCATGCTTATTGGTTTGTGCTAGCATTGTGCATGAAAAACAAAGCTTGGGGTGTACATGATATCTCCCCTCTTCTTGGCAGAGCAATATCTTGCCAGTAACTGTTGAGCCTAACTAAACTGCAGCTTGTTGAATAAATCATATGGAATAAAGAATTAGCAAGTGAAAGGTTCCATGTTCAAAGGCTTAGGAAAAGTATATGTTCCTTTTCCTTTATAGCATGAAGCTAGATGGGGTCCAGGTAAATATCCAAGATGGACAGAAGGATGGAATTACTCAGTCAGAAGAAGAAATAAGATATAAATCCTTTTGTCCCATATACTATCTGTCTTTTCTGTTATCTTTTTCCAGACTGAATGTTTTGACTGGGTTAATGCATGTGGGCTCCTTCTTTCTGAAGTCAAAGGCTCTCCAGTCTCCTTACTGAGTTTAGAAGAGCAGACCAATCTGTTTGGGCCACAGGTACTTAGAAGCTTACATTGTACCTTAGTTAGTAAATGTTATTTGGATAGAGAACAACCCGAAAGTTTTGCCCTAATGAAGAAACTACATTCCTGTTTCTAGAAAGATTTAATATTGCGAGCCTTCTGCACCCAACAGTCCAGGTGGAATTAATAGAAGCAGTAACTGTTTGTTACACCTATGATACTTCCTATGGGGGCAGATCATCTGCTGGTAAAAATTGTCGTAGCTTCAGTGGCGATACAGCTATTTATACCAGCTGAAGATCTGTTTTATGTTGCCTTGTATTTCTATTTCTCCCACTATAGTGGAATTTTGGTTTTGGATCAAAAAGTACTTTATACTGTTACCAGAACCGCTAGCCTAATTACCACACTTTCTTGCAGACTATATGCCCCAGAATATAATATACACCTTGTTTTTGAAAGACAGATTGAGGGGAAATAAAACCCGTTTCCTTACAGTAAGTAATGGAGTAGTAGCAGTTAGGAAGCCAAGCCTGCTCCTTGTTCTTTTCCCTGTGAATTACTGCAGATTTTACTTTCAGTTTCACCAGGTAAGTGGCAGAACCTGCTCTTACTGTATTTCTCACATGTAATGTGCACTCCAATTTCCAGCAGCTGGTTTTGGGGAAAAGGTGTGTTTTATATAAGAAAATGTTACTTAAGTAGATCATATGGGTGTCACCTACATGTGAACATTTGATTTACATCTTTTAGACTGGAGGTCTAAAGCAGTGGTGCTCAACTTTCTGGCCCCGTGGGCCAGGTGAGTGGTGCAGGGCCTGTCCGTAAGATGGATTGCAGCTGGGGTTGAGCCCTACATCATTTTGGCTGAGCCCTGTGAGCCCAGATAGGGCCCAATCCAGGTGCACAGGGACCTATGTCATCTTGACCCAGCCCCATGTGCCTGATCTAGCAAAGGGGCCATGATATCCAGCCCGTAGAATCCCCATGGATCTGGAAACTTAGCAGCATGAGAGCAGCAATTAATACTGCCAGTTTCCTCCACTGTCAAATTTTCAGACACGTGTGGAGCCCTGCAGGCTGGATGACACAGCTCTGTGTGCAGAATCTGGGCTGCAGGCTGGGAATTGAGCAACACCCAGAGTCTATGTAGGACTAAATTCACATGTGGGGGAAATCAGTCCAAATAGTCTTATTTCAATGGAGTTTCATTTGTTTACATCAGATCTGAATTTTGTCCACATGACGTCAAGACTGTTACGTGATTCCTTAGTTTATGTTGAGTAGATTCTGAATGTGATTTTGTAATATCCATAAGAATCAGGTAAGGATTTAGATGAGACAAAATTCATTTAACTTGTGATTTCAAATAGATTTATTCCCATAGATAGCTGGCTAATAAGTGAGCCAAGCTTCCACTTATTTCATGTTTGAACATTTTGAGTGAGGCATGATAAGAGATTGGTTGACCTGTTCTGGCGTTTGCCTGTATTACAAAATCCCAAATGAGCATTGACCAATAGCTTGCATTACTTAACAGGAATTCCAGCCACAGACACACCAGGTGAACTATGTGGATTCTTCTTTACCTGATGGAAAATCTGAGCCTTCTCGTGAACCTAGGAAAGACAAAACTGAACCTGCTGATACTGATACGAAACCTGTGATAGGGAAAGAAATGTTGGAAGCACAGGTGACAATCTCTTTTGTGTGAGTGTGCATAGTAGTGATGGCTGGAGTGTGAGGTGCTGTTTCCCAAGGGAGCCTTTCTTTGCTTCTTGCCTTCTGAGCCATTTGAAATCCAAACCCAAGTGCTATTGGGCCAGGCACTAGTACACTGTCTATCCACCTTTCCTTGCAGCCCCAACAGCCTGCACCAGATGCCAGCAGTGATGGCCCAACTGTAAGTGGTGAGATGACTGAGGACACAATCAGGTATATAGGACATGATTCTAACATCCATTTGAAATCTCTGAAGTCAGAAGCAGTGTCAGTCACTGGGGTAAGAATCTCCATGTTGTACATGATTTTCTTATTTTTGCTTGCAGAAACTTCCTGATTTGGAACATATGACAAGCGTAGTTGATTCATAGTTATCTAACTCCAAAGCAGTTGACTTTGCTTAAATATTTCACAGTAATTATAAACTTTTTTGTGAGCTCAAGCACTTATTAATACAGACCAATATTAATTTTATAATTAATACAATTTTAAACTTACTAACCAGCAAGTTGGCTCCAGATATTCAGTTGGTAACCAACACAAGGCCCCAGATATTCAGATAGTATAAACTGGTGCAGTTCTGTTGACTTATACTAGCTGAGGATCTGACAAACAAATTGCATTTTACTTTCTATCGTTATAGTATCATAGATGAACTTTTTAGTCACTGGATTCTCTCACTTGATTCCACATAGAGCATATGCACAACACATTATAATTTATTGCTCCAATTTTTAAAATGGCCTGCAACTAATTTTTATGTGTCACTGCTTCTCAAAGCAGACTCAAACAGCTGGAGAAGCCTGCCCAAAATCATTCTTTCTGGAATGCTTCACTTGTATACAAGCCTTTTTTTGACAGCAAAAGGAAGAATATAGCTAAAAATCACCCCTCTGATCCATCCCTCTCATGAGCACCCTTATGAATGAAGGTTCCACCTTGAACTCTTAGCAATATCACTCAAGAACTTCCACTTCCATCCATGCTAATTCCATTCTGGCATTGATGACTTGAGAGATGGCTAGAAAGGAGCACCATGCCAGAACTGGGCTTGTATAAAGGCCTCTCTACTCAGTTGAGACAGAAGTCTCATATATCTAACTCATTTTAGACTCAGCAAGAGAGGTAGCGAGTGGCCTGAGAAGGGTCCTTCTGGTGTCCTGGTACTGACTAGTAAAGTGCCATTAGTGATAGTCTGTAAACCTGTGGATTGCATCTCTCCCAGTACCGAGCTCTTGGTACTTTGGACATTGGATGTACACCAACACAAGAGCTAACCTTGGAAATTTGTTCCTCGACATTCAGTACACTGATGCATAGCTTGTCTGTACCTATGTACGGTACCAAGTAATTTATCTGTGGGGTCAGTGTTTGAGTCTTCCATTTGAAATACTGAAGATACTTTTATTAGTTTTTGAATCATTGATGTGCAGGAAAAAAGAGATTTCTCTGGTACTGATTTTTTCCTCCTTCTCATGTAGTAGGAGCCCAACAGAGCCAGGGCACTCCGGACAAGGGAGTCCTTCCCTTGGACGAGGTGTACTCCTTTTCTTCATCCCATGGGGGACATGACAAGAACTCCTCTTCTACATACCCTCCTTCCCCTCCTTGGGGAACATAATGGGTGTCAGGAAGAGACTATGGTGAAGGATCTACAAGGGACAGTAGTAAATGTCCTAGTGCCCAATAGAGAATATTTCCTGGGGCCCCTTGTGTTTCCTAACCCAGTATCTGTCCCAGACTTGACCCTTCTGCATGCCTTGAGGATGCAGCTGTATTCATGCAAGCCTGCGTTGTTGTCCCCTTCCAACCTTAGATTCATTTCCCAAAGAGGCAGTGCAGATCGCCAGTGCCAGTTCAACTTCTGTCCCACATGAAATATCTTGGATTCTGAGGAGGAACATTTCACCACCAGAAGTGAACAGTGCCTATACCATAACATGGTGGTCTATTCTTAGGAACAAGTAACCCATGGAACCCACTTAGGTCTGATTCAAGAAAGCACTTAAGCCCATGCCTAACACTGAGCACATGAGAGAATCCATTTGAAATCAGTGCAACTGCTCATGCACTTAAAGAGATTTCTATGCTTACACAATTTAATGCACTGGTACCTTGATGCAGCAGCCCTTCTTTCTTGGTTGCTTTCTCAGGATGCAGCTAAGCAGTATTGGCCCACCAGCACCAGGCTTGAACTAGCACACACTGCAGATGACATGCAACCTTGCCTTTCTTCCCCCTCATCATGCTCATGTACAGAAGATATTTCCTTTTCTCAAACAGAGAGAGATGACTGCCAGCAAGTCAACAACTGCCTGTTCCCAAAAGGAATTTGAGACTCTTGCTTTCTTGGAACATCTGCAAGCACAGCTTCTGTGAGTGTTGAGCTCCCTAGTGAAGGGAACAAGAGAACCAAGAGTATTGGAGATTTATTCTAGACCGGGGTGTCAAACTTGTCTGTGCCCTTGGCTGGATCCAGACTGGGGCTCCTCCTACACTAGATCTAGACCTGTTGGAAGCAGTGGGACAAACAGCGGTAACAGTGTGAGTGGTAGTGGTAGGAGGACGGGGTGGTGGCATGGGAGTTAACACAGCTTTTGCTCACCCCCCTACTGCTGTCACATGTGCCTATCAGGGCTCCATGCCTGGATTTCAGTGGGACACCCTGTCTTATAGTTATCACTCAGTCCCTCTGTGGGCCAAGTGAAATGGATTCACAAGCTAGATCTGACCCATGGACTGTGTGTTTGACCCTCCTGTTCCGACAAAGATGATTATCTTGATCTCCAGTAATGTTTAAAAAAAAAATTATGCAAAGTTATGCCTTTGACCCAACTGGCTCCATTCTGTTCTCAGTCTTGTTTTTGTCTTGGGCCAGATCCTCAGCTGATGCAAGCAATTGTAGCTCCATAGCTCCAATGGAACTATACTGAATTATATTGGCTGAGGAGATGACTCATTTAACTCTGCTGACTTGTATGGAACTGCTCCATATTTATCGTTAGGCAACCAAGATCAGTATCTGACACTGTCCCCCCACCTCCCTTTCCATTAGCATAAAAATATTAAAAAATAAATTTAATCTGAATTTTAATGTGATATAGTCCTGAATTCTCCATTTGATTTAGTTCTTAATGCTACAACTTTACACTGTGAATTTATTTTCATAGCACCCATGAGTTCTTCTGAAAACCTTTATTTTCTAAGCTGTACTGGAGATGTGGCCAACACTTTGTTAGGTTATAGATTTCAGTGTTGTCCTGGCTGTTGGATTTCAGAAATACAGAGACCCGTGCTCAGATGGCAGAGGAGAAATCAGAAAAATTGGAGGAGCAGCTGGAGGAAGCTCTGGGGAGAATCCAGGAGTTGGAGAAAGAGCTGGAAAAATCACACAGAGCCCAGGAAGCAGCATCAAAACGTGAGAGTTCATTTTCCAACCCTTTTTCTAGTTCTTCGCAACCTCAAAGGGCCACAACCTGCATTTGGAAGAGCTGCTGTAAGAGATGAGACCAATGATCTATCTCATCTGGTATTCTGTCACTTGCTTTACAGGCAGATACAAGAAATCCTGAAGTAAGCATTAGGGCACGGGTAGGCAATGTTTTTTTGTCCAGAGTGCCAAAAAAACCACAATGTCTACTTTGGAAGGTGCTGGAGTGCCAACATGCCGGAGCCCAGAGCAGCTGTTTGCAGCTTCCCTACTGCAGCTGGCCTGTGAAACCCAGTCTGCTTGCAGCAGGGCTTGCAGCCTCCCAGCCAGCCACCTGCTGGGAGCAGCCTGGGCTCCGTAGCTGGCAGCAGCTGCTTAGAGCCCTGGCTGGCAGTGGTATGCCAAGCAAAATGGCCTTGCATGCCATGCTAGGCACACGTGCCGGGGGTTGCTGACCCCTGCATTAGGGGATGAAATGCCCTCAGGGAAAGCTATTCCCTCCTGCTTATTTGCAAATGAGGAACTAAGGTACAAAGACTGACACCCATGGTCACATGGGAGGTCTGTGGTGGACCATGTGGTATGTGAGTCACAAGCTAGTGTCCTAAACCTTGGCCCACTCTTCTGTATAACTGTACATTTTTTATACTATATGTATATTCTTGATCCTGTTTTGAACCCTCCCAAACTCTTGGCCTTGCTTTTGGCCTTGCCACAATGAGTTTTTGATTATCAAAGATAAAAAGACCCAGGAATGCAGTATTCTGTGTTTATTTTTAATGTGTTTATATATTATTTTTAAATTTCAGAAATCCACTTCCAAGGAGAAACCAGTCCAACTTCTCATACACAGTCTTGCACTGCCCGGTCCAGGAAAGCCAGCAAACACAAAAAATAAATAGTAGTAATGCCTAAGGAAGTTCTTTGGGTTCTCGTTTGTAGCAAACTTTGATTCAATACCAGTGCCTTCTTCAGTATACACTTTCATCCCTTGTTTTACTGGTATAACAGAGGGGGTGCAACTTCTTCAAATATGCCCTCGCAAGGAGAGCCATTGCAAAAGCCTAGAAACAATCTTCCCCCAAATTTATGAATGATTAGACAAGTACATTTTGGGTGGTTTGGTGTCTGTGCACATTCATGACTCAGACAGAGGGCTTGAACATACCTTGTGGACAAAGTTTGCAAGACATAGCAACATCTCTCTTAATAGAGCCTGTAACAGATCAGATAACAGAAGGCTGGCTGTATTACCCCAGCTCTTAAGAATTTGGCACACTGAGTAGATCTCTGCATCCTCCTTCAATGCTCAGCCAGCGAGCAGAAATCTGAGGACAAGGCTTCTTTCAGGATTGGAGACTGAGGGTAGCTCTGAAACCAATTCCATCTCAGAATTGCACATGAGCCCTTAGTATTTTAAGGTAGGCGTCCAGTTACAGATTGTGGTTAGAGAAAGGCAAACATTCTGCCCTGTGTTACCTGATAAACAGATAAGGCAGCAGACAGCATTTCTTGTGAGAGCCATCCTTGTCATGGCTGTTATCCTTTTAAATAATGTGCATGACTTTTGCTACACTAGAATTTTTATTAATGGGGGGACCTGGAGAGGTGCATCTGTGCCAGTTTGACTGGGAGATTGCTGACAGCAGTCCATGGGACTGGATGCACAGAAGGATTAGAGATGATACTCAGAAGTGACAAAGGAAGAGTCTTGTCTAATTGTGAGGCTCCCAAAAGCATGCATGCATGCACCCCCACCCCCACTCCTTCATTGGGACCAGAGCCTACTTGTTGTTTTCCTCCTTGTGAATCCAGTGCAAAAACTGTTTTTACTGTAGCTTCTGGGAAAAAGTTGTATGCCATATACAAGAAAATTTGGTATACAGAAATGTTAAATGTACTTCTGCTCCAATGAGAGGATAACATGTCTTGATATCATCTTAATCAGTAGAGAACATTATGACTTGCCTTTTTCAAGTTACTGATTCTGAAGATCTTGTTTCAAGTCTCCTGTGTTTTGGTCTTATCCTTAGTAACGTTTTATTCATTGTGTGAAGCCTTGAGAAACATTTTCAAGGTCTAAAAGTAGAAACTAAACCATGCCAGGGTTTAGTTTCCTGGCCTAGGAGGAAACATCATTGTTTACTTTATGTAACCTGGGAAGTGACAGTTTTACATTGGGAAGTTTCCCTTAATTTAAATTTGAGAATGTGTTGCAACCCATGCATTGAGAATTTTCCCTCCATTGCAGATATTTTTGTTTGTTTGTTTTGATCTTTAAGGTATTTTGTACAATCTTCCCCCCCCCCAATTCCACTGACGGCAAGTTTTCTCCAACATTGCCACTTTTTACCAACTTCCTATGCAACATGCAAGCTACAGTAGCTAAAGAAATCTAGTTTAAGAGCACAGGTTTCACAGCCATGCATGCTGCAAACCAGAAAATATTCCATTCTGTTTCCACAACAGATATTGCCCAGCAAGTGTATTCTTGACCCTTAGGAAAGCTATATTCTTCAATTGTGTGATCTGGATGTCTCCCTCTGGTAAAATAAAATGCCAGAAAAGCATGATTTCCTTTAACATTAAAGCATTGCCCATGAGGGGTTGCAGGCACAGAAAGTCTAGCTGAGGGATGAGATAACAAAAGAAACAACTTTTGATGGGTTTGAGTGAATTCAAGGCAGCAGGGCCTGATGAACTTCACTCCAGGGTACTGAAGGATTAGACAGAGGTGATCTCAGAGCCCTTGGCAATAATTTTTATGAAGTCATAGGAGATGGGCAAGGTACCAGAGGACTGGAAAAGGGCCAACATAGTGCCTTTTTTTAGCGGGGGGGGGGGTGGCACCTAGGGAAATGCAGACTAGTTAGCTTCAATATCCAGAAAGATACTGAAGCAATATCATAAGAAAATCCATTTGCAAGCATCTGGAGGAGAAAAGGCTCATCGCAAGCAGCTAGTATGGATTTACTAAGAACAAATTATCCCAGACAAACTTGATCTCCTTCTTTGACAAATAACTAATTGGATGGATGTAGGGAATGCAGTGGGCATAGAGTATGTGGACTTCAGCAAGCCTTTTGACAAAGTCCCATATGACCTTATAAATTGGAGAAATGTGAGCTAGACAAAACTACTGTAAGGTGGATAGATAACTGGCTCAGTAGCTGCAAGCAGAGGGTAATTATAAATGGATACATGTCAGAATGGCAGGAGGTTTTGAGTTAGGTTTCACAGTGGTGTGAACTGGGCCCAGTGCAATTCAACATGTTTATTATTTGGATACTGGAACTGAGAGCTTAAACACATGAGCAGCTGATGTGAAACTGAGAAGGATTGCAAACATGGAGGACAGGATTGCCATTCAGAAGCAGCTAATAGACTGGAAGCCAGACCAGAGCAAACAGGATGAAGTTTAATGATGGCAAATGCAAGGTGCTACACCTTGGGAGGAATAATCAAAATCTACAGGTACAAAATGTGTGACACCACCCTGGATGGCAGCACTGGGAATCTTGGTTCGTTGCAGCCTCAGTATGGGTCTGCAGTGTGATGTAGCTGTACAAAAGGATAACACAGTGTTGAGATGCATTGATTGGGTGACATGGGAGGTGATAGTGCGTCCTCACTCGGCACTGGTTAGGCTTCTAGAGTATTGTGTGCAGTTTTGGGCTTCCCATTTTAAAAAGAACATGGAGAAGTAAGGGTCCATAGGCAGGTGACAAAAATGATAAGGGGCTTGGAAGGCATTTGGTATGAGGAGAAGTTGAAGGAAACGGACATGTTCAGCTTGTGGAAAAGGCACTTAAGAGTGGATGTGATAGCTGTCTTCAGATATCTGAAGAAGATGGGGGGGGAAAAATCTTTTCTTTGGCTGCAGACAGCAGGATACAGACCAGTGGCTTGAAGTTGCTGTAAAGTAAGCTTGTACTGGATATCAGGAAACACATCTTTACTGTTAGAAAAATGAGGCAGTGGAATAGATTGCCTAGAGAGGCTGTGGTATCTCCATCACTGGAGGTGTCCAAGGAGAGGTCAGATAAGCATTAGTCAGGGATGATCTAGGAGTAGCAGTGCCTATATTATGGATGTTTGACAGCTTCTGGGCTTTGCTGGTTGCCACATGGGGCTGGGAAGGGATTTTTTTTTTCCCCCTCTCCTGCTGCTATGTCAAGGTGGTTTTTTTGTTTGTTTGGGGTTTTTTTTTTTACCTTCTTCAGAACCATTTGATGTTAGCTATAGCTAAGGCTGGGGATTTTGGCTGGTGTGCCAGTGTTCCTGCTGGGGCTTAAATGTGGAGGTTTCTGGCTTAGAGAGACTTGCCTCTCTGCTCAAGGTCACCACAATTGGAATTTTGCTCCATGGTCGGATGGGTACACCTGGTAGTGGTTTTTGCCTTCCTTCGCAGCAGGGGGCATAGGCCTCTTCCTGGAATCTCTTGAGTGTATTTTAACAACCTTTGCAGCAGCAGGATGTTGGCCACTATGGTCCCCCTACTTTATTATTGGCAGGTTAGGGTGTTGTCCTGTGGCTGTATCTGGGTTGACTGTGTAGTTTTGCTAATAAGTTAAATGATGAATTTGTATAGGATGTTTTGGATAGGAATGATCCTGCCTTGAGCAGGGGGTTCAACTAGATGTCTGGAGGTCCCTTTGAGTTCTCTTTTTTTATGATTCTATGATTTTCACCCCACCCTGCAGCCCAGGCCCTGCCCTTCCTCAGCTCCTTCCTTTGTCCCCACTTTGCCTGTTTTGCTCTTCTTTTATCCTGTCCTGTAGCTCTCCAATCCACATTTGCCCCTATTGCTCCTTCATTTCTTCCTTTTCCTTACCCCTGCATCCCCATCACTCCTTTTCTTTCTCTGGACTGCACACCTCCAGTACATCATCTTTTCACCATACCCCAACCCGGCTCCTTTCTCTACCCTACTCTAATTATTCATCCCCTTTGGCCTTTCCTAACTTCTTTGCCACACTTTTCTTTCTCTGACCCTCTGCATCCTCTGATTTGTTCCATTCACACACAAGACTGAGAAGCTAAAAGTCTCCAAGGCCAGCCTGTGTCTGTGTGTGTTGTGGGGAGGGTCAGGAAACTGAGCTGTCTCCAGCCTGTCATCAAGGACACAGGTCTGTTGGGTCCTTTAGGTAACTCCCACTGGGACAGCAGTACAGCTTGGCTGGGATATGACAGCTTGGTTCCAGGCTGGGAGCCCCCGTCTATAGCCATGCTCTACATCCATCCCTGAACCAGGAGGAGTACCGGCATGTCCTTATGTGCTTCTCACACAAGCCTTTGGCAACTGATCAAGTAGATGTGCCCTGAGCTAATTAACACAAACAGCAAGTTCCCAAATGTTTATTTCCATGACACTATTCATTTGCTGTCCCTGGACCAACTATGTTCCATATTTTGACACATCATCCTAGAACACAACAAATGGAGTCTGGACTTGGTGGGGCTGGGAAGGGCCAGGAGATGCCTATGAACTTCCCACAATTCTTGCTCCAGCTCCACTTCCCAATTCAGTCATACTTGCACTGAACAGCTCTCACTGCCAGTTCAAAAAGCTGCCCCACAGACAATGAGTGATACAGCAAGAAACTCCCCAGAGCTGGATGAGGGTATGGAACTTTGTGAAAACCAAATGTCCTGCTGGATGTATTGTACAGGGTGTCAGTTTATGCTTCTGCTTATCCCAGGCACCTGGCTTTTGCAGGGAAAAGTATTCCCCATGGATCTTACCACAAAGGTTGGGAAATGAACATTAGATATTTGGGGCCTTTCAAAATAAACACCAGTTTCTCTTTCCACCCAACATCCATGGAAGGATAGACCTGTCCCTAGGGGTCAGGCTTGTGTGGGCATAAAATATCATTCTCTCACTGTTCACTGTGGCTTGGTGATAGAAGAAATAAAATGGGAAAGTTCAGAGGCAACAGTCCCTACCATACCTGCTCTTGCAGCTCCAGCCCCAGCCCCTGCACACTTAAGATCTGGAATACTTTTCCAAGCAAACTTAAGTCCTCTTCTGTCTAACATACTTTGTATTACAAGCCCTTGTGTGCTTTCTGTCCCAGCGCTACCACAGTTTATACCGACATGGAGGCAGGCAGTTCATTGCTCTTGTGAGTGACTGTGTAACATGGCTACAGGTGCAGCAGCCCCACTTGAGCTCCAGCTTTTTCCAGGAAGGCTCTACAGCATGGGGGAGTCCTTCTTGTCCTCCTGAGGCTCTGGGTGGTTTGCAGTGTTATCAGAAAGGCTGGCTGTGCATCTGTGGCTGGCTGCAGACCCAAGATTCATCAGGTCAAAGGGCAAAGGCAGAACGACAGTGGATGGTCTCTCTGTAGTTAGGGCTTGCAACGTGTGGAGGTAGCGGAGCTGAGCTGCAGCTGGGGTGCTGGACAGGATTTCAGCTGCCATCCTCAGGGATTCAGAGGCAGCCTTTTCTCCCTCAGCAGCTATCACCTACAGCACAGGGAATGAAAGGGGCTTTTATTAGCAGTCGCTAGGCTAGCCCCAGGGGGATGGTGGTAGCTGGGAGGATGCTGTCTGATAGCGTTTCTTAAGGAGTCTTAGGGCTTGTCTATGCTGTCTCTGTGCCAAGCCTGGGAACATCGCCAAGAAGTATGTCTCACCCACTCCTGCTCCACACAGCAGAAACCAGGTGCAAAGTGACCACCTCAGAGCTTCTCAACAGTCTGTACCTGGGAGAGCCTAAGAGTAGGGTTGGAATGCACTCTTGTCTCCTCTAAGGTGGCTACATTGCCTCATTTCTGGCAGAAGAAGTGTGTAAAGCAGGAATGAGTAGTATTCAGTCTTCTTGGTGGGGGTCCTGAGCTCAGCATGGAGGCAGTGCAGACGCACCTTTAATGGAAGCAGTTGAGGAGCACTTCTGGGCTTCTCCATGGTGAGAGCTCTTGTAATGTTCCTTACAGCACCTTCTGCAGAAGGATGGTGGAAAGGGGGGGTCACTGGCTCTTCTAGGGCCAGAGTTCAATCTCCTCTCCACAGTGACCATGACTGGGACTGCAACAGGATAGTTGCCCCACCTGTAACTAAATTCCTTCTATGCTGTTCTTTAAATTAGAATTTCCCATCCTGTGGGTTAGATCCCGCTAAGGGGAGGTTGGAGAAGGTTTCACAAGTGGGCGGGGTTTACAGGAGAACCAAAGGATGGAACAGCCAATTCTCAGCTTGGGAGAGGGGCTCTTCCTGTGGTATATCCAGTCTGCCTGAGGCAGGCTCTGTGCCTGGAACATGGCTTCCTGTGCCATTGTCACTCAAGCAGCAGTGAGGGTTGTTTTGGGAAAGACTGAATATTATACTGCATGAAAACAGGAAGCACTCTGTTGTCTTACCCGTACTTTGGCATGTCTCTGAGCCTCTGCTTCTGCTGCCAAGGACTGCTGGAGTTCAGCTGGCAGCCGCACATGATTGCTGTAGGGGGAAGATAGAAGTTACCTGGGCCCTGGTATTCTGCACCTCTACTTAGTGGCAGGAGCTTGGATGCACGAAGATGGTGGGGTTTGCAGTGGCTCATTAGAAGGTATCAAGCTGCAGCTATGTTCTCATCTGAGCTGAGGCAGTTTGCTAATATCCCTTGCAATTTAGATTTGTAGCCTTCTCAGCCCATCTCTTATACAGCTGGGCCCAGTTTAACCAGCACTGAAATCACTGGGAGCTTTACCAGTGACTGCTTAACAGTTGGATTAGGAAGGCTCTTTGTCTGCCAGAGAATATTTTTCTACTTTGAACATCGGATGGGAAATGTGAATAGTAAATAAGAGGGCCAGATCTTCAGCTAGTGCCAACCAATGTCCCTGTGATGACATTGGTGGTGCTGTGCTGATTTGCTCCAGCTGTGGATCTAGTTCCAAATGCCATAACTGCAAAGCACAGGGTTTGTGCAAGTTTGAAGCTCTGTATGTAATATTTTCCTCTGAAAGCTGGATGCAGCTGTAGAGTACTGTAGAAAAATCATGTGGGCTAGCAGTGGGGTCTGGCTGCTGCAGGGGATACACTTAGATCTTCAGGTGCAAAGCTGTAAGAAGAGCAGAAGTTAGCAGTCAAGAGACAGTGAAATTTGCAAAGGGGCAACAGCAAATTTCTTTACCCTGCTGTGTCTCTGCTTCATATGTGTCCTACCTACATTTCTGTTCTCTCCAACTTGATCCCCCAGCGACATGTGACTGCATCCAAAGCTACCTGTAAAGATGAAGACTGACTGAGTATAGGCAGCATAGAGCTTACAGACAACTCAGACAGGTGATATGGTCCCATGTGATGTACTGTCTGGAGAAGTGCTGAATGCATGCATCTGGTACAAAAGTATTCACAGCTACTTGTTCATATTGCAGCAAGGCATGTGCAATAATACAGCTAGCTTCTGTGAAGGAAGGGGCACTTAAAGAGATCCCTTTAGAGGACAAGGCAGAAGGATAAATGACAAAGTTCTTCCCCTAATTATTATGTCCTATTTTGTGCTCAGGAGGACTTGCTTCTAGAGAACTTGTACGTCCTCAACAGAGAAGACAAGGGAACCAACTCTGAAGTCAGTGGTGTGGCACCCATATACAATAGATCTGAATCTGTCTCCAGCTGTTTCACTTTAGTCTACATGGCTCATCTTGTCTTCTATTCATTGCTCCCCAATGCCCTTCTCAGAAGCTCGTTTTCCACCAACTTCATTCCATTGATTTCTCACTTGCCCTCTGAGACCAATGCCTGAGAGTGATTCCATTTTTTGCCAAATCACTCTTGAGTTCCTTGGAAAACAGGACTTGGTATTATCCATTGCCATTCATTGAACACAACATGTGATCCTGCCAACAAGTCCACTGGGTGGATCACTGTGGGCTGCTTAAGGTGCATCCCTACAAGCAGGAACGTGAGTGTCCCCAGGGACAAGCAGCAGCAGCAACTGTGCTGCTACTACTTGTCCACAAGAAATGCCCATGCATGTGTGCTCTGGCATGCAGCATGTTGTCCCAGGTGGTGATCCAGCAGCAGGGAGCCTGGCTGGCGGCCAGAGCATGGCTCCAGTCAGCCAGGTTCCTGTTTCAGGCAGCACATGCTGCCACCATGTACGCCACCCTGCCTTTTTTTGGTGTGGGGTTTTTTTGGACACTGCCTATATTCAGTCAAATTAGCAGTGCAGGGAACACCTGCATGTGCAGTGTGTGGGTCGTGTGGCACAGCAGATGGGTTTGCAGTGCTGCATACTGCAAGTGGATGCTTGTCTGGGTGACCCTTAGAGGCCTCTCTACCAAGCCCTGATTAGCCATGGGTTGAAAGAAAGCTGTGGTACCCTATCCCAATGCTGTGGCCCTGCCCACCTCCATGTGGAAATACCTTTACCTTTATTTCCTGACCAATGCTCTTCTTCTCCAGGAGGAGTTCAGTGAAAGACCGATGTGCCAGCAAGCGCTTCATGGTTGTCTGTACCAGCAGCCGGACAGTACTGGAGATGTTGACCAGAGTGGTTAGGAGGAGAGAAGCATTCTCCATGCGGTAGAAACAGATGGCATCTATTTCCAATGTAACCATATCTTTGGTCACCACCTAGACAGAAAAGATTTTGGGAAATGGGGTGAGTTCTGATGGCTTTAATTGCACAGAAGGGTTAGGGACACCTGGGAAAGTGAAAAATGGCTTTGTGGTTAAAGCAGTAGGCTATGGGCCAGAAGATGCTTACACTTATCACAGATTTATATCACGGCTCTGCCTCTGGTCATTGCAACCTTGTGCAGAATCCTTAATCTCTGCATTTTAACTGTGCCCGTTTTACAGATGAGAACTGATGTCATTCTGCCATCCTTTGTCCGTCTGCCAAATGCCATTTCTGGCTCTGCCACTGACCTGTGTAATATTTTTCTTCTCTATGCCTCTTTTCCCCCTCCTATGCTTTGTCAGCCTAGTTTGCTTTGATTATAAGCAGGCTGGGGCAGGGCCTGTCTCCTGTTGTGTGTGCAGAGGGCCCAAAACAATGCTGTTAATCATTATTTACAGTTGCCTTTAGTATGTCCTGGGGAGGTCACTGCTTCAAGGAGCTTAGTCTTGGGTTCTTAGTGGGTGTATTTACTTATATCACTATGGCAATGTTGTTACTGCACTGTGATTTAGTACTTCCCATTGGAGGTCTGAGATGATCTTGTGATGCAAAGAGTAATAGACACCAATGATGCAGCAGCACAGAGAAGGGAAGTCAAAAACAGAAAATAAAATACAGGTCTTATGAAGGGGGTAGCTCCCTACAGGCTTGTGTATACCTGGACCACTGAAATGGCAGATGCTCAGTCCTTTGCCCTTCCAAGAGTAAAGTGGACTTAATTCACCTCTGTGAGGATCCTTCCAAAGAGATGCAAAATAATTGTATTGTTGCCCACTCTGCAGGGGTATCAAAGACCCTGGCATACATCTGGTGGGAATGGGGACCATGCTCTTCAGCTAGAGCCACCGCTGCCTCCCTTCCTCCTATCTGCTATGCAGCGGGGTAGTATAGCTCATGTTAGGCAGCCTTCCAGAATAATGAGGCCCTAAAGGTACTGTTTTTAACCTCTTGTTTTGGAGTTTTTAGGGTGCTTTTTGGTCACATTTTCATGCTTTACCATGCAATTGGGAAGGCAAAGAACTTAGTCTTCATAAAAAAGAGCAAGGTTCTTGTACATTCTCATGACTTCAGGAGCAGAGACTTCCAAAGAGGACACCAAATATAATGAGATTTATGATAAAATCACAAGAGCCAGCAACACTGAGCCGTATGCTAGTACCAATAAATTGGTGTCCTTCACCTTAGGATCAAAGGCAGTATCTAAGCATGAGTTCCTTCTATTGCATGAGGGCAGAATGACCAAGTCTAGCTACTAGCTACAATTAATTTTGGTTTTAAGCCCTTCTCTCGGGTAGCAGTAGTGTTTTCTGTCACCTTTTTCATTGGAGGGACAATCAGATTGGACTAGTTGTAAGGATAAGTAATGATAATGAAGCAAGGGAACATGTGGTGCAGGAGTTCTTACCTCATGGAAGGGGATCTCTAAGGTTCTGAGGCGAAGGTCTACCTTGTGGTATGTATCCAGACAGGGAAGGAAGAAGAAGAGGCCTGTGTGAGGAAGAGACAGGGCAGGAGACAGTGACTATGGATGCCACAGAAGAATTCTACTTCTTGATTCTGAGAGCAGCAAGTATGGGGCCATGCCAGACAGAACCGAAGGAAGGAACTTGTGTATGTACTTGCTGGAGATACAGCCTCTCCAACATTAGGATGCCTATCCAGATGTGTGTGAGAAGAATAAATTCTTCCTGACAGATGGAGCTGCAACATCATAACCAGAAAGATTCTCCTGGACATCCAGTGTAATGGATTCTGTTACTCCCTGCCCCATTTCAGTCTCCCCTTCTCTCAATGCATTGCACTCACGTTTCACAGATGAACACGTCCTTGGACTGAGATGGGCCTGAGCTGCATCATATAGTTCAGGATTCAGTCCTGAGCATTCTTGGAGAAATGGGATGTTTGGAGAGGGTCCTGACTGAAAGCTCTGCCTGGAGTCATAAAAGTGGGGGCATCCAAAAATAGTGTCTGTACCCTGGGTTCCCTGTTCAAGGTTACTTAGGCTTGCATAGAATGTGCATAGATGGGACAGGCTGAAGGAGCAGAGAGAGACAACGGTGCATGGGACAGAATGGTTATTGGGCCTATTTAGACCCTGCAGATGAGAAGAAGAGGGAAACAACCCCAACCCAGTGGGTGGGAAGAGGCTATTTTTCCACTGTTAATGGGTTTCAGAACTGGTGAAGGGTGTGAAGAGATCAAAAGAGAAAAAATTAATTGCCACGAGTCCTAAGCCCACAGCTTCAGTAAGGTTTGGAGGCCTTCAGGTTTAAGGGAGTCCCCTACGAGCTGCCCTCACCAGGGGAAGGAGCCAAAAAGAGACATTAAAGCCAGGCCTTCCCCTGCCTGCACAGAGAGATGAGTGAGGTAAGGGAGCAGCTAGCAGGGGGCACTGTCAAGTAAGCTATGGGTTTCCTGAGTCTCCCACCCACATGTCTGACTCAGTACCCTCTATCCCATGTGAACTCCCTGAAGAACCAGTTGTGGAGAGAGCTGCCTGTCAAGGATAGAAACAAAGAGCAATGCCCACTTTGCTAGCCACTAGCAGATACTGTGAGAGAGGGGAGAGTGCCAAAGCCCTCAGGGTTGGAGAGGTAGGAGATGGATAAGGTCACTGGGGAGAGGGAAAGAATGACCCCAGCTCAGATCTATTGGGATAAGATCATGGTGGACCTCTGTCTGCGGAAAAGGGAGGTGGAAAAGAACACATCAGAGTTGTGTGAAATGGGTGTGAGGATTACTTCTGAACAGCAGGGACAGTGGGTGACAGATCTGGGATTGAGTCCAACCCATTTTGAGGCTGCTGAAAGTGAGGGTTGAATAAACTGCTTACCGGGCCCTCTGGCTCTTCCAGGAAGGAGACGTCCAAATCGGAACACAATGGCTCTCTCGTACTCCTGCACAACCTGCAGTGGGAGACACAGAGGCTGGAATTGGAAAGGGGGGGGCAAGAGAGAGCAGGGTTGTTGAGAAGGAAACAACGGTTTTGGGGGAAAAAACCATCCAAGGCAAATCCTATGAAGACTAGACTCTTAGCTGGTGTAAACTGGTGAATTCAGGTCACCTATTTACCACAGCTGAAAATCTGACTCAAAGATTTTATAGCTAACTAAGGACTATACTCCCATTTGTGTGACAGAATGGCTGGACTTGAGAAGAAATACTGTCCTTTGTGATTCTAACTGGCGGCAGATTATACCAACCTATTATAAATATTGCAGAACATTTTCCAAGATAAGACCAAATTGCTTCAACGCTGAAAGTTGAGCTCCTTCATGCTGGGTGTCTGCCTCCTTTGAAGGTTTCTTGGACAGATTTCAGCAAAAACAGTGAAGCTGTTTCTGAAAGTGAGGCTAAGGAAAACTGCATTGATTGGCACATGATACATTCTTCTGAGCCTTTTTTTATAGTTTCAGGTCTGTAACGCTTTGTAGCAGACTTTAAAGTTTACAAGGGGTGGCCTGTGTGTCATAGGCCACTAACGGACATTATACTTAAGATGTGATTAACAGGTTAATTAGATCTTAAGTAATTACTTAGCCACACATTCATTCAACTGATACAGTGAGGAATCAGTCACAAAATTATTACACAAAATATGTGTAATAGCTTTGTGGCTGATTCCTATTGTGCCTTTAATTGAATGAGTAGCCCATGCTCACAGCCTCTCAAGCACACCTTGCATGATTCCCATATGCTCCAGAGGCTGATGGGTGCTCCCAGCTGGAGGAGCTCATGAAGCCCTCTGCTCTGATGGGCTTCCCTGGCTGGGAATGCCCACCAGCTGATTCCTCATGCTCCCCTGGCTGGGAGCTCCAATCAAGTTTTCCTAGACTTCAGGAAGGCTTTTGATACTGTCTCTTACCCCATTCTCATTAGGAAGCTGGGGGACTGTGACGTAGACACCCATACAGTCCAATGGGTCGCCAACTGGTTAGAGAGTCGCACCCAGAGGGTGGTAGTGGATGGGTCCTTCTCGACCTGGAAGG